ACGAATTCCCTGAGCTAAGCGACAAGAACTGGCTTTAGTGACTTTGCGTTTGCTGTGGACATATTTTCACACATGAATGAGCTGAATGTGAAACTGCAAGGGGAAAGATCAGTTTGTTCACGACATGTACAAACACGTGAAAGCCTTCAAATCCAAGCTCACTTTGTTCTCCAGACAAATTGCGAACAAATCTTTCGCTCATTTCCCCCACACTTGCCATGCAGGAAGAGGCACCGCGAAACGCAAAAAAATACAGCAAATCACTTGAGGACCTGCACGGAGAATTCTGCCGTAGGTTCTCTGATTTCGAAAACATTGAACAGTCACTTCAGCTGGTGTCCTGTCCCCTGTCACAAGACTCTGAAACGGCACCACAGGAGCTGCAGTTGGAACTGATAATCTTCAGTCTGACTCCATCCTAAAGGAGAAGGTCAACTCTGTTAAACTGAATGACTTCTATGCTTCACTTAACAGAGCCACGTTTCCAAACCTCCGGAGGACTGCACAGAAGATGCTGACTTTGTTTGGCTCGACTTATGTGTGTGAGAAGACATTCAGCGTCATGAACGCCAACAAAGCCCGTCACAGATCAAAGTTAACGGATCAGCACCTCAGATCTATCCTGACAATTGCCACAACCAAACTAACTCCAGACTTGGATGCACTGGCAAAAATGGAAGATCAACAACACTGTTCCCACTGAAACTGAAAGTGAAGATGTGTTGCTGCAGCGAGGTTGGAGCCAAATCTCCGACACACAGCCTGCGTGGCTGCTCCAACCTGTTAATGTAGACAATGAAGAAGTTCAAGTGAGGTCATTGGTTTGGGCGCAGGCCTCAGATGTTTCCATGATGTTTGATCAGTCACGTTACGACATGTTTTTGTATTGTTCATGTTCGTGCAATTTGTTAAACTGCCTTGCAAATAAAAAACTTTGCTACCTGTTAAAGGCCAAATCCTTTCATGTAATGATTTTTACACGTCATTTATATTAGTTCACACAAACACTCCATCCATCTGTTCCTGGCCCGGCCCCTCTGTCAAATTTTAGAACCCATTGTGGCCCGCGTGTCAAAATTTTTTTCCCCACCCCTGCTTTAGAGTCTACCTGATAGCATAGCTATCGGGTATTTTGGTCTACTCCTCCACGCCTGCCGGCAGCAGCGTCATTTGAATCTATAATTGTAGAGAGGTAAAACTAGCAAACAAATTGCCACTGCAGCACGGGGCATCCGAGGCATCTTCGTAAAAAGATGACGTACAGGGCGCGCTCTCTTTATTTACCATGATCTAGGGGCTCGACTTTCTGCACCGTAACAAAGGTGGTGCTCACCTGAATGACACTTGGTAAATCTCATTACAGCATCCGCGTGCGCTCTCTCAAGACAACAACTCAATAATATTTGCCCCTAAAAAAGGAAATATATAAAACAAAGAAAAATATCCCCCGTATAGCCTTGACAGACTATTGGGGCTAGTGCTGTTAGCGAACACCTATGAAGGCCGGCACAGAACACAAGGAGGTAGGTGCCCAGCACCACGTTCGGCCGCACCAGGTACTTAGTTGAGGCTGAGTCGACTTAGGGGAGGCTCAGTACCGGTCCAGATAATCATCCCTGGTCCTCGTCAAAAGTGGGAATCGAACTCGGGTGTCTGGTTTAGTAGCGCAATGCGCTACACACAAATATAATAAGCGATGTTCCGTGCAATGGTCTTTCTTGATATCAGAAAGATTTAGAAGGCCCATTGACCGAAACGTCGCTTATTATATACGTATTCCTTTCAGGGAAGTGTTTATCGACGAATGTGCTGAGGTTTTTTTTGTGTTTGTTATTTATACCTTAGGCACCACTACCAATGCAGCATCACATTTCTCTTTAGTGAAGACACTTCTCTCTTAAGAGCGCTGCTTTTCGCCAAGTGCTATCTTTACAGAAATCCGAGCTATTGCCTTCAAAGAAGGTCGGCTGTCATTAGCGCGTTTAATTATCTAGGCGAGCTCATTAAGATGCCCAACTTCGCTCGTGATAATGTGCTTATAATAAAAAAACCGGAATTGGCCTATAGGGGGATGTTATAGATCACTATGCACGGTTTCCTAAAGATTAACCTTTTGAAAGATCTCCCTGCGAGCGCCGTCCCAACAGAGCCCAGCCCACAGAGAAAAAAGTCCCGTTTGACCCCCTGTGGCCCCCTGATCTCACAGTGTGAGGCTTATGCACTACATGGATAAATATTTCCCTTGGTCGCAGTGCCAGATTAAGCTAGTGCGAGGCCTGTAGCATATGTTATAAAGGGGCCCTAAATAAAAAAAAACAAATATTAAAAACAAATTCACTTGCACAGTAAAGCAAATGTATTTTTTTATTTGCTATACAGCCAGATAATACGACAAATCGGTAACCTTAAACACCCAGTCGTTCCTACAAGTTGAAGGCAGTATAGCAGGGACGTGCGGTCAGGGGAGGCAGGAGAGGCAGAGCCTCACCCGTCATACTCCAATGAAAATAGCTGTTACAAAAAGAATAATAAAATGAAATAAATATTAAGATTTTTCCACTGATCTGTGTTATAAATGTAATATCTATACAATTCCAATAATTTTATAGTCAAAATCGCCAAATTTGCGGAGCTCCGCTGCAAACACAGGAAGAGACGGGAGGTGAGGCAGCGACGAGCTCAGCCTCCCCTCTGATTGCGCAACCCCTCAGTAACTGGATGGAGCGCGGGCAATCAGCGCGTGCCTGTTACTATCTCAGTGTGTCACCAATGTAATGTTTGTAGACCCCTTCATTTCATTTCCTCGCCTTCCATACTCCAGGTAACTTATTTCACGTATGTGTATAAAGATATTTAGCCTCGCTGGTCTCGTCATGAAACTGCAATGAAAAAGCACCAGGGGAGGCAGCTATCACATCTGCCTCACTGAGGGGGACGTGTCTAACACGCCCCCCTCAGTGAGGTCACCGTGAGGTCACGCCCCCCTCCGTGTGTGAATCTGGCTCTGACACTAGCCAGTGCCTCCCCAGCCATTGACTTCACCCCACGTCACTGCAGTATAGTACTATAGTAAAAGAGCAAGTGCAGAATCACTGAACCGGAATTGATAGCTTGAAAGCGTTTAGCGCGGGGGCCCTTGAAAGTGCGGGGTCCGTAGCTACTACATATGTAGCTACTTGTGCTACTAGGATAATCCGGTACTGTTTGGTCGACGAAGAACCCCTTCAACGCACGCTGGATCGGTGGCTGGCAAACACGAAGGGGCTGATATGACCTTACAGGACCAGACCCTTCAAAAAGCCAACAAGCACGTGTAACTTAAAATAAGGTTATCTAATGTATCGCCCGTCGGGGTTTTCAGGCAATGCTTCCCACTTACATTTGTTTCAACGGGAAACCCCCGGGGCCGGTTTCGACTTTTCATGATTCTCCTCAGCAGTGCTCGGTGCATTAAGACAACGAGATCGACCGGCGAGTATTCCGACTTGTTTAACGAAATGTGCGAGTGTGGTGAGGCAGCCAGCGACTAATGCACCGTGCTATGAACCCGGCGACATGAGTTCGAATTCCGCTCACGGCTAACATCAGAGGTCAGCAGCACGCGATTCTGCCGTTCTCCCGTTCACCAACGCGCATCGGCCAGCGTGGTGAAGTACGACCAACGGCAGGGTTTGGGGGAGGCCCTCATCCAGCAGTGGATTGAGAAGTTACTGGGAATCAATCTTGCTCTTGAGTGGTTCTACGGGGAACTGCATCCAGGAGTGGGTCACGGATGGAAAGGGGAATCATTCGCGTGTCCACGTGGAAGCAAAGGGCACGGACAAACACATTGAGGCTCTGGCGGTTGTCCCGTGTCGCTCTCCGATGTGTTTTTCGGTTCCGCCACGTGCTGCTCGGCATGACGTCCGACGTTTCGCTCCACGCACCGGGAAGCTCAAGCCCACTAAACATTTTTGTGCACTCGCCGCTGTGGCAGCTGAAACTCACGGCACATGGAGCGAAACGTCGGACATCGTGCCGCCGGAAAGAAAAAACAAACACGCGGATAGAGCCCCTAAAAACTTATAGGAGAGCTGCACACACACACACACGTGCCTCTTAAGAAGCAAGGTCGGTGGAGAGGTGCCTGGACGAAGACACCTGTCCCCTCTTCTCCCCCGCCCAATGAGACCTCCCGTCCACGACGTTTCACCCATGCCAATGCCCTCGTAAGTGCTATGGTGCGGTGCTTCCCGTCATTCGGGATAAGAGAGAGAGGGGGGGGGGGCTTGTCTTGCCACTGCAGTAATTAAATCCCAAAAGTTAAATGTTTCCGAGCGCTCGCAGCTCGCTGGCAGCCTCGAATTGGTGTCACGGGGTGGTGGTTTGGCTTGAGCTCTGTGGCCCTCAACTTCCCCGTATCCACCACTGCTTTTAAGGAGAAAAGATACCTGAACCGTATTGAAATTGTTACGCGCAGGCTGTGCACGGAGCCCGATAAGTGTATGGATACAATTCTAGATTTAAAGCTTTCGTGACTGCTAGGATCCATACTCTTTGGTTCTATTGGGTAAAGTCACGTAGGTGAAAATAAAATAACAAAAAATCACTATGAACCAAAGAGTATGTATGGATACACTCGCTGCTTGTGGCGTCGCGCGATTGAACTGGGCGCCGCCTGGTCCTAGGAATTATTTACGCACCCAACACCGCAAACTCCCGAGTCCCAAAATCTCGTCCCTTCATTTCGTAGCCCGGTGCCTGAGCCCCTCATGGCCTGTGGACCCCGGTGCAGTTGCACCGCCTGCACACTCCTCGACAGGTATGCCACTTGTGTCGGCTCTTGCTACGCCATGCGAGCGCCTGAGGATCACAAACGGGCTGCGTGGAAGCATTCGCGTAGGTTATTTTACAGGGGCTGTAGTGCTTCATGTAATCGATTCACATCGATTGTATGCATTCTCGCGATACATGCGTGGTTGGAGTCGCGTGTGCAATGATCGATGTTTTTTAAGTTCCTAATTTTGTGTTTACTGGGTTCGCGTGAGGACCCTCCAGCCACTAGTGCCTGCTACATGCACCACGACATTACAAAATAGCTGGTTATTGAATTATTTCGAGGTGGGGCGATTAGTCGGTTAATCAAACGACATATTATTATCGAACACTCTTGCTAATTGATTATTGTACTTGGACAATAATCTCCCCAGAAAGCCACGCCCAGTGTGACAACGTGGCCGATGATGCCAATGGCGTCACCAAGGCCAGAATATTACCTCCCGTCCAGCGGCACACATGCGAACAGCGGTAATGATTTTTCCCAACTAACTATATTGTTTTGTTATCAGATTAGTCGAGTGATCAAAGCCATAATCGTTACAGTAACTGACAACTTAAATAATTAGATATCTGAATTCTAAATACATAGTCACAATTCATGAAATTGTGATGGAGTGGACGATAGTCCAGAACGCTGTTCAGTGAATTATGTTGGCACGCCACATCCATGTTACCTTATTTTGTTCTCATGATACTTATCATGTCCTCATACAATTATAGGAATGAGAGGTTCAATAACATAGCATTTCTATGGATAGTTGCACCTTGAAATCTAGTGGTAGTTAGTACCTTATGCTGATGATTCCTGCTCCAAGGCAGCCTAGCTGCGTTCCGGAAAATATCGAGTGAGAAATGAAGCCCTGATGAAACAGGACACGTAGACGATACGGATGACACTGTCTTCTTGTGATTCTAATGGGAAAGATCACCTCCTCGCCCTGTCGCTTTTACGAACATGCCAGCCAGTGTTGCAAGTCAAGCGGCCGCTCTGACTCATCAAGCCAGGGTTACAGAAACCATATCAAATCAAATAAAAGTGTATTGGTCGCTTACACGTTATGCTGATGTTATAGCTTGAGTTGTCAGCTCCACAACACTGCAATAGAATGTCTAACAAATAATCAACATATGCGTGGAATGCTGCTTATGCATTCCCCTGTCTCTCTATCGCACTCACCCGAATGTCAAAATCAGAATCTGTATCTAGACTGGAGGAATTACGATGAGCTATGAAGCTCTTTTTCACGGCAGGGATGTGTCTCCGCGTGACGCTTTTGCGTTGGCCTCCTGCCATCACGGATGAGCGGAGAGTGGAGGGGCGGGGATGGATGAAGCATGGACGCAGTGCTGCAGCAGGAAGGGAGGGGAAAGGGTGGCTTTTTGGGGGGAGGGAGACGGGTGGGGTGGCCTTCTGGAGTGGGGCGTGCTGGGGGCTGGCGCCGCACGTATGCGTAGCCGAATCGTAGGAGAACGAAGCGAGCAGCGGCGGCTTGGTGGCTCAACAATTTTTTTTTTGCGGCTGTGGCGGTGCTGGCGCCAGCAGCTGCCGGAATGTCTAGCCACGGCTCTGGGACGGACGTAGAGTCCATCCACACGGGAGGAAATGATGACCACCCCTGGCGCCCACCGCCGAACCACCCACCACCGCTCGTCAGCAGTCATGGATGCAGGTGGCCTGGCGGTCCGTCTTGTACCAGTCGCCGTCGAAGTTGCAGTTGCAGGTGGTGCATTCGTCCACTTTGACCTCTCGACCCGCGGGGATGACGTTCGAGCCGGCCAGGCAGTTTGGTCCTGCGTGCAGGTTGCGCGTATATTAGAGAGAGAGGAGGAGGAGAGAGGAGGGAGAAACAATCGTTGACAAATTGATTTTTAATATAATTCATACCCGTGGATTACGTTAACACTTTCCAACACTTTGTGCGTTTTGCCTAGAGAAGTATTTCATTAGCAGTGTGGAAGGCAACGGATCACTGTCAGTAGAGCATTTTCAAGTAATCCTTTTTTTGTTTTGGTTTGTTTACCTACGTGGCCAATTAGGGGAGTTATAGACCCCCCCCCCCCCCCGATGGGGATAGAGTGAATGCATACACACTTTGAACAGTTTGAAAGCTTTGTAGCCTTTGCAAATCCCCTTGAATGCTGCTTATATCTTCAGATCTTGGAAGCTAAGCCGGATGGAGCCTGGTAAGTAATCGGATAAGAGACTGCATGGTTGATACGAAATATTGTAGGGCTTGGATTGTGAGGTGGCCAGGAACTGGTAGTACTGCATTGGATTATTGAATCCATCTGCACAAAGCTTTGAATGTTACACCCTCGTGTGTAACTTCCCGCCAAACACGAATTAATTGAATTGGTCAAAAATGTCAAATGCAGCAAGGCCCTCCTGCAAGATTGTCTCAGTTGGAGCTTTCCCGGATAAAGGGCATAACAATTTCAAATAATATGTCCTGACCTTTACTGTCATACACGTGCCTATATTTCATACACACGTGTTTTGGCTCTCCCTTTTTCTCCGTGCTATTATACAATATCGATGATCACGTTTTGACGTTTAAATTTTCAACGCTTGCTTTTTTTTTGTCTGTGTTTCCTCCGCTGTTTGGTTCCAGCATTGGAATGCTGTGCGGCGTTTATCGCTGCGTCTGTGTAGACCGAGGTCTCCCTTGGATAAGCGAACACTCGTGAAGGTCGGAACGGGTGGGTGACCAGCACCAACGCCCGACCGCCTTTGTTTCCCCAGTGGCGATGTTTACACACACACACACTCCGCCAAAGTGCCTTGACGAGGCCCAGAACCCGGTTGAGAAAATCGTCACCGATATCGGTCGTGAGCGGGAATCGAAAGTTAATGCACCGTTTTGCAAGCGGTGTATTTCCGTGGTTCGCTGGATTCGTAGCGCAGCGTGCTAACCGCTACGCTACCACTCCCCGTGGCTGCAGGCACGCAAGAGTACTCGGGGCGCACGGACTCGCTCACAATGCAGCGCGGTGTATCCCACTTTTTGACCAATTAAACCCAAATTAGATGTCCACACGCGTCCACTCACCGCGGGGCAGCGCCGGAGGGATGTGATGGGTTGCTGGGGGTCGTTATTTGTGGGGCCCCATTACGGGGAGGGGGGAGGCGGGGGGCGGGTGGAGGACCGACGACTCTTAAGCAGATGACGATTTTTTTGAAGAGCGCGGTGGAGTTGGTGGGAGGGGTGGTGGGGGGGGGATGAGCGAGGAAGCCCGCTGAGTGCGGGGAAGGAAAGCGTTCTCGGACATGCTCACCTCCTCACCCAGAGGGCCCCTTGCAGAGATCAAACCAGAGTAACCCCCTCTCCCCCTCACATTTTTTTTTCCTCCTTGAAGATACGTAACTCGCATAGACGGTGTGTCCCGGGCTGTCCGACACGAATGTGAAAATTCGCTAATGAGTAAGTCGTCTTTATAGTTGAGTTCAAACGCCTCATTGTGGTACTCTACTCTGACGTCAGCTTTCATACCTTTAACCCGTTCAATATACAATGGGGGCGCCTACCTGCGATGTTCTACTTGAAGCAGCTTCAAGCTGTCGCCGGACAGCGCGCGCCACGCCGCCTGGGTGCGCCTCTAGAAGACAAGGCTCGCCGTGCTACCTTTGTGGCCTGCCCCGTCATTTCAGACGGCTCCCATTAAGATGGAACGAGCGGCTGTTATGTAAAAAAAAATCTCTCTGGCATAGAAAATGCGGAAAATCCACCACTGGCTCAAGATTGCCAACATAGATGAGCACTGCCCAATGATGAGGGTTTACACACAATGACAATGATCATTAAGGGTCCCTCTGGCATCTGGGAACTCCAAGAGGTGGCTCAGAGGTCACAGACATGGCAACGGCACAGCTGACACCCTGGCTTCTAATGTATGATGAAATAGAGTTATCAAGTGGAGTAGGCTGATAGTCTCAGCCCAGTCACCAATGCCTGTAGAAATGGCTGCACAAAAGACATCACATTAACTTTCAGGTTCCACTTAATTTGGCTCATTTCCTGCTTTGACGGTGCCCCCAAGGCGCCGCCCCCCGCCCCCCCCCCCAGTGTGCAGATAGAAAGGTCACTTTAAGGGGTTCTAAAACGTCGTTCTGTCATATCACGTTCCAACGGGCTATTCTTGAGCACGTGGGCTCGTGCGTCGTTCTCGATCTGCGAGGGTTTCCGAATGGAGGCCGCTTCCCGTGAACGACACCGACAGCACAGAGTGAGTACGACATCGGGACAGGGGCTGAGAGCCGGCCTGCCCCACGCAGCGGGAAGGGGCTCAGAGCGGCCAAGGCGGTACCGTGTTTACAGACGGGACAGCACTGCTTGGGCTCGTAGACGGGGTCCACGCACTCGGGCAGCGGGCAGTCCGAGACCACGCACGTCACCTCCCCGTCCGCCTCGCAGCGGCACCGCTCGCATGGGGACAGCTGCCGTGGGCGGGGGTGGGGAAGTGGAAGGAAGGGAATGAGGAAGGGATTGAGACGTGAGGAAAGCCAGGGACGGGGAGGGTTAAAAAATAAAATAAAAAGGTTGGTAGGGGTACGGGAAAAATGGCAGGGATGTGAGTCGGGCGGTAAATGGATGGGAGGGGTGAGATTAATTAAATGGATTGGGCGGAGGAGAGAGGTGTCGAGGATGGGATGTATGGGCAGGGACGTCGGGGATGGTAAGTGGATGAGAAGAGAATGGTTGGGATGGGAGAGGCGGGATGGATGAGAAGAATGAGAGTGATCGGAGGTGACCGGATGAGGATGGGAGTACTTAAGAAGAACGAGTGTGTTGGAAATGAAAGGGAGGGATGTGAGTGAGGCGGACGGCAGGAATGGGAGAGATGGGATTGGTGGGAAGGTTGAGAGGGATGGGAGGGATGAGAAGGGTAAGAAAATGTAAGACATAGGAAGGACGGAAGGGTTGGGAGGTGGACGGAAAAGTGACAAGAGCATGATAGCAGTGTTACGCAAGAAGCTTGTTGCAGAGGGACGATTGGAACGGGAAGGGATGGTAGGTGGACTGGATGATCGAGAAGGATTTGCGGGTTGTGCCGGAGAGGGCCAAGAGGGATGTGCGGGATGAAGTCGGAATTGCGACCGAGCTCGATCTCAGGGTGAAGTGATGGATCGTGGCATCATCCTCTCGAGCCCAGGGTTATGCCCAGAGCTGTCGTCGCAGAGGCTTGAAATCGCATTACCCGCGGGTAACCACAGGCTCGTGGCGTGCGGCGCTCTGACTTCGGGAGATGAAAACAACGGAGTGGGCGAAAAAGCAAAAAAACACAAAGAGAGGCAAACGACGTTCACTCACTGAGGGGGGGGGGGGGGGCGGGGGGGTCAGTGCGTATGTAAGGGATAACGCGGCTGAGCAGACCGGTAAAAGGGTGCAGCCCTGCAATTGCTTGCTTACACCACTGTTGGTGGAAGAGCCTCCCTTAGAGAGAGCTCCATTTTGGCCGAATCTTCTACGCTGACCAGATGCACTGGAAGAGGTGGACGTACCCACATTTTACCCCACCACACGCGACCTACCAATCGACTACCTGAGGTCTATCCTTTTACCCTGTCTGGGTGGACAGAGGCTGTCGGATTTAAGAGCCTCCCCCCTCCTTTGTTTCACCGCCACGCCAGGAGGTCGAACGGAACCAGTGACCCCTGGATTGCAAGTTCGGCCAACTTACCATTAAACCCCACGGGCAGCGTGCAAGTACCCGGCTAAGGGAGTGGGAAACGGATATCGTTTTTGCATTCATCACAACCAGGACATTTCTTTCGTTTGTTCAGTGCACCGCGTCCTTTGCGCTATTGGTGAACAGATGTTGCCCCTTTGTGCTGGAACAAACCGTGCGTGCGTGAGCGATGCGGCTTCAATGTGATTGCACGGGGAAGAGTCGCACGCATGAGGGAAGTGATATTTCCAGGAGGCCACTGATCTGTCTGAGCTGGGGTTATCGGTTCAGCTCAGTTTTAATAAATTGCTCTGGTGGGAGAATCGGCGACGCAGTGGTCCGCGCACTTGCGCCATGAACCCGGTGCCACAGCTAACATGAGTGGCGGGTGATATCTGAACAAGTCCTGCACTGTGCTTGCCACTCATTACACACAAAGTGCTTTCCACAAATGAACCACAATACCTTGCTCATCTCAACGAGCATAAACCATCACGCAAACTCCGGTGATCCTTGCAAGCAGCGGCTTTTGGCTAGTCATCGAACAAAGATTGACAATGCATCGCGCTTTCAGATGTGCTTCTGCAGCCGTCTGGAAGGCTCTTCCTTCCGAAATTAGGAAGTCACTGGAACTGTGCACTTTGCAATAGAGATTGAAAATTCATTTCTCGAGAACTGTTTATTGTGCGCGTTAAGTTTGTTGTCCATCCCCCGCTCCTCCAATTATCACGGTTAACTACGTACGGTGCTAAAGAATATACATACATACTGACCAGCGTGGTGCAGTAAGGTTAAACAACTCCCAATAATTGACACGAGGTGGATTGAAACGAGCTCAGATCATGCTAATAACCTGACGATGCTGGATGTACTCTCCGGCAAAAAGAGATTCGTCTCCAGCACGCACCAGTCTGCTGAAGCAGGAATGTATTTGGCATATTTGATCCACGTTTACCAATACATCTTTTGACGCGACCTAACCCAAATGAAACCAATTATGAAAGCCTACGCATAAAATGTACTATTTATGATTATTACGTAACATATCCCAGATTATGTACATTTCTTCTTTGCACGTGGAAATGTTGCACTGGGACTTGGATACTCGTTCACAAAAGAGCGTCTCGAAGCCGGGTGCACACCTGTGATCCACTGATTTGGTGAAATAAGATTGTGGATTGTGCTAGGTGTGTAAATGCCCAACATCTGCTGGCCTGCAACGTGACCACGAGATGTAAGTACAGCAAGTGGGTTCGTGAATCCTTCCGTACGGACGTTCGAGTGTTACCCCCCACGCATTGCTTGCTTGGTGGATTTTCTCAAAGTACCACGGTCTCCTCCCACACAAAGCAAAACCTTCAGAGGCAAAAATTACTCGGCCAAACATTCCAATGCGGATTAAAAGGTGCAACCCTGCCATTTAGAGTGCGCTCTTAGACATTTCCTCCAGAGGGCATGCGATCGATTCTTCCACACGTCTTGGAAGGGGTGGGAACGCCCCCGGTTTAATCCACCACACAAGCCCCAGGACCCGAGTGAAGTTCGCCCGGTGCGTAATGAATTCTGTCGACGACTGCCGTAAGTAAACGTATTTTACGCGTGGCTCTCCGAAGCGTTTTCGGGTTGTACCGAGCGTTGTCCGGCGTGAAGTCCGACATTTCAATCCACGTGATGGGAGCTTCTTCAGGTTACTGAATTTAATTTCGGTTCCCAGCACATGGAGCGGAACGCTGGACCATTATTGCCGAATAGCACGCGGTAGAATTGCGCAGAATTTGAAATTTACCCGAAAAAATACTCAGTGGGGAAAAATTACTCAGTTGGGAAAAGTGTAGCGACTTAGCACCCCACTACGAAACTACAGCAGGCTATGAAATATCCCAATGTGCCAGGACCATCCTGATAAAAAAGAAAGAAATAAGTTTTGATATTCAGCGAGGCTTTTCCGGGTAAATAAAGGGAATTATGATACATTTTAAACTTGAAACTTTTATGACAGCAGGAATTATTATTCTTGGTTATTTCGGTAAAGTCACGTAGATAGAAAATACAAATAAAATGCAGCTATTTTAAATTTTTATTTATTTTTGATTTTTATTTTCTATCTACGTGTCTTTACCGAATGAATTATGAGAATAACAAGAACCCAAAAACACATTGGAGAGCTACAGAGAACAATCGCGAAAACCGAAGCCGTGTTATATCGTTCACGTGTAAACAGCGTGCTCTATGACTGTGTAAGCAGCATGCTCTATGACTGTGTAAGCAGCGTGCTCTATGACTGTGTAAGGAGCGTGCTCTATGACTGTGTAAGGAGCGTGCTCTATGAGTGTGTAAGCAGCGTGCTCTATGACTGTGTAAGGAGCGTGTGCTCTCTCTGGTGTGCACACCTGAGCAATATTAACCAGCGGGGTGTGGGGGCTCGATCCTCCATCCATGAACGCCTTGAGGGGCTTAAATCACCTCAGTGTTAATGGTTCACATTACCTTAGTGTTAATGGTTTACATTACCTTAGTGTTAATGGTTTACATTACTTTGGTGTTAATGGTTTACATTACCTTGGTGTTTATGGTTTACATTACCTTGGTGTTAATGGTTTACATTACCTTGGTGTTAATGGTTTACATTACCTTGGGGTTAATGGTTACATTACCTTAGTGTTAATGGTTTACATTACCTTAGTGTTAATGGTTTACATCACCTTGATGTTAATGGTTTACATTACCTTAGTGTTAATGGTTTACATTACCTTGGTGTTAATGGTTTACATTACCTTAGTGTTAATGGTTTACATTACATTGGTATTAATGGTTTACATTACCTTGGGGTTAATGGTTTACATTACCTTGGGGTTAATGGTTAACATTACCTTGGTGTTAATGGTTTACATTACCTTGGTGTTAATGGTTTACATTACCTTGGTGTTAATGGTTTATATCACCTTAGTGTTAATGGTTTACATTACCTTGGGGTTAATGGTTTACATTACCTTGGGGTTAATGGTTTACATTATCTTGCTGTTAATGGTTTACATTACCTTGGTGTTAATGGTTTACATTACTTTAGTGTTAATGGTTTACATTACCTTGGTGTTAATGGTTTACATTACCTTGGTGTTAATGGTTTACATTACCTTGGTGTTAATGGTTTACATTACCTTGGTGTTATTGGTTCACATTACCTTAGTGTTAATGGTTTACATCACCTTAGTGTTAATGGTTCGCATTACCTTAGTGTTAATGGTTTGCATTACCTTAGTGTTAATGGTTTACATTACCTTAGTGTTAATGGTTTACATTACCTTAGTATTAATGGTTTATATTACCTTAGTGTTAATGGTTTACATTACCTTAGTGTTAATGGTTTACATTACCTTGGTGTTAATGGTTTACATCACCTTAGTGTTAATGGTTTACATTACCTTGGTGTTAATGGTTTACATTACCTTGGTGTTAATGGTTTACATTACCTTAGTGTTAATGGTTCACATTACCTTGGTGTTAATGGTTTACATTACCTTGGTGTTAATGGTTTACATTACCTTGGTGTTAATGGTTTACATTATCTTGGTGTTAATGGTTTACATTACCTTAGTGTTAATGGTTTATATTACCTTGGTGTTAATGGTTTACATTATCTTGGTGTTAATGGTTTATATTACCTTGGTGTTAATGGTTTACATTACCTTGGTGTTAATATTACCTTGGTGTTAATGGTTTACATCACCTTAGTGTTAATGGTTGACATTACTTTGGTGTTAATGGTTTACATCACCTTGGTGTTAATGGTTTACATCATCTTGGTGTTAATGGTTTACATTACCTTGGTGTTAATGGTTTACATTACCTTAATGTTAATGGTTTACATTACCTTGGTGTTAATGGTTTACATTACCTTGGTGTTAATGGTTTACATCATCTTGGTGTTAATGGTTTACATTACCTTGGTGTTAATGGTTTACATTACTTTGGTGTTAATGGTTTACATTACCTTGGTGTTAATATTTTCTTGGTGTTAATGGTTTACATTACCTTAGTGTTAATGGTTTACATTACCTTGGTGTTAATATTTCCTTGGTGTTAATGGTTTACATTACCTTGTTGTTAATGGTTTACATCACCTTGGTGTTAATGGTTTACATTACCTTGGTGTTAATGTTTTACATTAACTTGGTGTTAATGTTTTAACCCTGGCGAAAGAGTTTAGAGAAATCTGTAATTCTTCTCGTATGCACACGCAATAAAGCTCTAAAAACAGCGATTATATACAGTGAGGGAAAAAAGTATTTGAACCCCTGCTGATTTTGTACGTTTGCCCACTGACAAAGAAATGATCAGTCTATAATTTTAATGGTAGGTTTATTTGAACAGTGAGAGACAGAATAACAACAACAAAATCCAGAAAAACGCATGTTAAAAATGTTATAAATTGATTTGCATTTTAATGAGGGAAATAAGTATTTGACCCCCTCTCAATCAGAAAGATGTATGGCTCCCAGGTGTAATTTATACAGGTAACGAGCTGAGATTAGGAGCACACTCTTAAAGGGAGTGCTCCTAATCTCAGCTTGTTACCTGTATAAAAGACACCTGTCCACAGAAGCAATCAATCAATCAGATTCCAAACTCTCCACCATGGCCCAGACCGAAGAGCTCTCCAAGGATGTCAGGGACAAGATTGTAGACCTACACAAGGTTGGAATGGGCTACAAGACCATTGCCAAGCAGCTTGGTGAGAAGGTGACAATAGTCGGTGCGATTATTTGCAAATGGAAGAAACACAAAAGAACTGTCAATCTCCCTCGGCCTGGGGCTCCATGCAAGATCTCACCTCGTGGAGTTGCAATGATCATCAATACATCACTCGCCGCCGACCCATGAGGTGTTACGTAACTTCCAAATGGGTATGGCACGCGTTTGCATTGGCGCACGGCTTAATTTCTCATTGAATATCAGCCGCTATCTTGGTAGAAATTCCGAGAATGTTATACTTGCCATGAGCAGCGTGGTGAGGTTATGATCACACAACTCGCATGACCAACACGACGTGGACAGTATTTCGTCCAGCAGAGCATTGACTGTTAATTCAAATAGCGGAGTTTTAGGTAAACCTAATAAGGTAAACAAACACATGCTGGCCTGTGTTAGCAGTGGTGCACACGTTTGTAGAAAACAGAACAGGGGTATTGCCCGAAACGTCGGTCTACCATGTGTCCTCTTATGAGCAGAATTACTGACGATGGTAGTGAGTTTTCATCTTCTCTTCCTATCGAGTTAATAAACCAGTAATGCAGTGCCTGTATTCGAGTAATGCAAAATTGTTATTAAGAAATTAATAATCTTTTTGATTTAAAGTTTTCGTGACTGCAGAGATTCATATTCTTGGTTCTTTCGGTAAAGTAATACAAATATAAAACAATAAAAATTCTCACGACGTTTCGACTGCAACACGACTGCAACACAAGCAATCATCATCACACCTGATGTGATTGCTTGTGTTGCAGTCGAAACGTCGTGAGAATTTGTATTGGTTTATATTTTTATTATTTTATTGTTTCCCTTCTACGTGACTTTACCGAAAGAACCAAGAATATGTGTGTGATTCGTTATGCGGGGAGCGGTGGTGTAGCGATTAGTTTGCTGCACCACGAACCCGGCCACCCGAGTTCGATTCCCGCTCACGGCCAACACCAGTGACGATTATCTGAAATCGGTCCTGGACCTCCCCTAGGTCGACTCAGCCTCAAATAAGTACCTGGTGCGGTGTGTAAAACATCACCACTGGGGATACAAAGGGTGCCAGGCGTGGTATTGGCCAGCCATCCTCTCGTGAGCCGTGCCGGCCTTCATACATGTCACTCGCTAACAGCACTTGCCCCACAAGTCTGTTCCAGGCTATACGGGGGGATCTTTGTTCTGGTGGTTCGTAATTAATTGCCATCAGAATGTAATGGCAATCTGAGATAACGATGCAGCTTTAATGCGCACGTCGACCAAGTATCAAATAGGGCCTTGCAGTGACACGAGTGACTGGGTGGGCTGGAGTTAAAACGCAGTGTTTGTTGTTGTTGTTGCCAGGTGGAAACAATTCACTCTCTTGTTATTCATAATAAAGGTTTTTGTGTTAGATCGCGTTATTTATAAATGTGTCGTAACCCTCCACCACCCGACACGGCCAATCAGCAAAAAAAAAAAGTGTCACGTTGACAAAAGACAAATAATTCACTACTTCAGCCCACCGGTGTGTTGAAGAGTTAATCCACATTTACAGTTTGAGTACGACGTTTCGCTGGTAAATACTTCCAGCATCATCGGGCAATTCGCCAGAATGGTAAAGCCCTCGCTTGCTCCCGGTTTTATATAGAGCAGTAGGGTGACGTCATCACTTAACTCATCAGGTGCAGTGATTAGAGGCGGAGGGGGGGGGTAATGTAATTATATAATCGATTAGTAATCAGTCATTGGTTATGATTAGTAATGAGTTGTAGATTAGTAATTCTTTAAATCAAAATGTAATGTGTATTATTTAATAATACGCTTCCAGGCCGCACTAAGCCGGTAGCTGTCAGAGCGATTAAAGTTATTCTTGTTCCTCTCAATTTCAATGGATTCTCTAATTAATCTTTGCCAGTAATAATTAGTTTTACACACCACTGCAACATTGTCAAAATCAATTGAGTGTCCTTGTTGACAAGCATGTTCTGCCACTGCCGACAGTTGTGTTTGAGATAATTTAATATTTCTCTGATGTTCTTTTAGTCTTACGCTGATGTTACGTCCCGTCTGCCCAATGTAGCAGCTGCCACATGAACAATTAATCCGATATACACCTTCTGTTGATAGTTTAGGTAATGCGTCTTTAGTGCAAGATACTAGTTTTTGAATTTTGTGTACTGTACCAAATCTTACTGTAATGTTTTGCTTTTGCAAAACGCGGGCTAATTTGTCAGTTACTCCTGAGATATATGGAATTTTTATTGTTTTAACAATCTGGTCGCTTTCAGTAGTATTGCTTTGCGATCGTGATTTGGCATTCAGTGCTCTGTTAATTTGAGCATTATTGTAGCCATTCTGTCGTAGTGCGTCTTTAACGTGTTTAATCTCTCTCACTAGACTCTCACCATCTGACACTGTTTTCGCCCGATGTACGAGCGTCTTGATAAGAGAGGATTTTTGAGCTGGATGATGATGTGATTCTGCATTCAGATAGGCATCAGTGTGCGTTTGCTTTCTGTAAACGCTGTGTGTTATTTTACCGTTTAGGCCATGTCCAAGCAAAATATCTAGGAATGGGAGTGTGTTATTCACTCTCTTGTTGCCTGATTAGTGCGGCCGAGACGATAACCAGTGGCGGATACATTTTTGTTTGCGGCCTCTTTCGAAGTGATTCGGCTTCTTGTTGTCGCGGGCCTGTAAGGCTGGCCCACATCCGATTTAAAGTGTCGCTCATGATGTGCAGGTCATGTGGTGGCTTAAATTTCGGATTATAACATTTTAACGCAGTAAAATCAGGGAAAATATACTCGTTAACGAGGGGGGGGGGGGGTGGGAACCAACATTAAAAGTCAAATGTTTTTTTACCGTAGCCAACAACCTCAACCGGCGTTGCTTTGTAGTGCTCATCAGCAAGCTGCTAACACGATGAATGTTAACGTGACCAACAACAAAAACGAGGCACTTACTTTCGTTCTGTGCTAGCAAAACGTGCGATCAGCAAAAAACGTGCTTGCCCATTCCTGAACTTGATGAGCAGCAAGTCAGTGCGAACAAGAACTGCATTTGCCTCATCGTCGGCAAACGCGTGCGTGCACGCGAACTGTTTCACACAGACAAAACAAAGACAAAGATCCCCCCCCGTATAGCCTTAACAGACTGTTGGGGCAAGTGCTGTTAGCGAAGGGGGGTGGGTGGCCAGCACCACGCCCGGCCGCCTTTGTCTCCCTAGTAGCGATGTTTACACTTTGCACCAGGTACTCGTTTGAGGCTGAGCCGACCGAGGGGAGGCCCACGACCGGTTCAGATAATGGTCGTTACACACACAGACACACACACACACAGATACACACACACAGACACACACACAGACACACACAGACACACACACAGACACACACACAGACGCACACACACACAGACACGCATACACATACACACAGACAGACACACACACAGACACAAACAAAAAAAACAAAGATCCCCCATATAGCCTTAACATACTGTTGGGGCAAGTGCTGTTAGCGAGCACCTATGAAGGCCGGAACGGTACACGAGGGGGTGGGTGGCCAGCACCACGCCCGACCGCCTTTGTCTCCCTAGTGGCAATGTTTACACACCGCACCAGGTACTCATTTGAGGCTGAGTCGACCTAGGGGAGGCCCGGGACCGGTTCAGATAATCGTCACTGGTGTTGTCCGTGAGCGGGAATCGAACCCGGGTCGCCAGGTTCATAGCGCAGCGCGCTAACCGCTACACTACCGCTCCCCATACACAGACACACACACAGACACACAGACACACACAGACACACACTATCAATCAAGCGAGTTTGTGTTGCTGCCTTAGCCATCGCTCACACGTCACACAGACTCAATTCTATAATTGTATTGTTTCCCTTCTAATAATACAATTATTGTTTTAAATTTTTTATTATTTTATTGTTTCCCTTCTACGTGACTTTACCGAAAGAACCAGGAAAATGAATAATCATTTACTGTCAGTTGTCGCCCATAACCGGTTCAGGTATTCCTCGCTATTGATCGATCTTAGCCGTGGCCGGGAATGGTTTCCGCGGGCAGTGGAGCAATGAATTAATTGGGAGCTCCTCGGCCGCGGTGGGTTTCTATGTATATTGAACTTCTTTCGCACCGTACGTAGCCAAACCGTGCTAATGATCGTCTGGGTGACCCTCCTGCCCCGTGGCTCTGGGCGCCGTCGCACCGACTGCGCCCTTAAACGCCGAATCGTCCCCGTCGCCGACGTCAAAAGAGCGGCCAAATTAAAACGCGCGCCCGGCACGTTACCTTGAACTCCTGCAGCGACCCGTACTTGGCACCCTTGAAGTCGCAGCCGCTGCGAACCTGCTTGCACTGCTGGCAGCAGCCGTCCGACTCGACGCGCACGCACTTGGGGTGCAGGCGCGGGCACTCGGGCGGCGCGCACACGGGCCCGTCCTCGGCGCACACGCACGGGCACGAGGCGTGCCCTGGGAAGAAGCGCTCCCCGAGGCGGAAAACGCGCCCCGTCGCGTCCTCGCAACCCCGCTGCGCCCGGCGGTCGTGCTCGCCCTCGTAGGCGCCGGGCGACGTCGTCTCCTGCAGGGAGGCTGGGCTAGGCGCCGCGCCGCCTCGCGAGCCGAGACCCGCGGCGGCTGCGAGCCGAGCGATGTCCGGAGCGCCGAGGGTCCGCGGCCCCGGGGAGAGCGGACCGGCGCCGAGAGGGTGGATCAAGAGGGGCTCGAAGTAGATTAGGGCGAGGAGGAGCGCTTGCCCGCGAGAGAGACGTGGCAGCGCCCTCATGGCTGAGACGCCGGCGAGAGAATTGCGTAAAAATGTAGCTCTCGGCAGCGCGGTGTGATTTATGCGCCCAAGCCGATGCAGCGGGGGCACCCCAGCCAATTTACGGTCGCGACGCAGGGAAGCCGCTACGGAATGCGGAGTCGCTCTCGGAGAGTCGTGCGTTCGAGTCGCATGTTAAGCGGCTTTATAACCTACCTCGTGCATTACTACGCCACCACCAACCACCACCACCACGTCCCGTGACTGCGCGTCCGCGTCAGGAGCCGGAGTGAGCGCGGACCGTGCGTGTGCGAACTTGAAATGCGGAGCGAGCGAGACGGGGGTGACACAGCCACTGCCCCCCCCCCACCCCCAACTCCCGCAACGCGGCCTCCCGCCCCCTGCGCCGACAACGCGCACGCACGCACGCACTTTGAGAGAGGAAAAACCCAAATGTGCCATTTCTAGCATGACCTGTAAATTCACATTGGAGTCATGAAAAACCAGCTACACGTTCGTGGATTCAGAGGTTTTACTTAACCAGGTGAGGTCCCTTTCAGATTAGCATTCTGCCAAATTTGGTTACGCTCTGAACTCGAAAAACACGTCGACGTTTCGGCTGACTGCCTGCTTCAGAACATATAACAACAACAACAACAACACTGCATGCATGCATATTGATGAAATTACAACAACCACACTCTTCCCCTTCTCACTGGCCCTTCGTTCAGTATTCGATGGTGATCGCAGAGTAAAACACGGTGCACAGGACGGGTACAGCAATCAGCGTCTTCGCACGTGTCCCTGGCCCCTGCGCGTGCTGTCGGTGTGAGCAGGGCGCGCTGAGTTTGCGCGGCGCTTCCGCGACCCGTCGTGAGAGTGATTCCATTTCTTGGCGCGTGGCTTCGCGTATTGATTTGTAATAAATAATTATGCTCGTGTCGTTGAATCGATGCGTTGCGCCTTTGGTGCGGCGGCTGTCGCAAGGGGTGGGGGGGGGGCGGGGCGGCTCGGGTGGCTACATTTTTACTCCGCAGCCAACCTCCTTCTTCTCCGCCCGGTTAGACCTCTGCGTGAATCAAACTCGGGATTTGCGCTGCTCCGCTAAGCAGTAAAGGCTGCGTCGCGTAAACTCGTAATAAGAAACTGTCAAAAGCAATCCGCTGTGTGTCCCGTGTGCAGATAAGCGCGCGGGAATCGCGTGAACGGGCGCGCGTTGCACACGTGTGCGTGAAAGGGAGCACACGTGTGCGTGAAAGAGAGCACACGTGTGGGTGAAAGAGAGCACACGTGTGCGTGAAAGAGAGCACACGTGTGCGTGAAAGAGAGCACACGTGTGCGCGATCGCCCTGTGTGTGAGATGTGGGGAGTGGTAGTTGTCGTGGTTAGAGCGGTGACCCGAGTTGGATTCTCGCTCGCGACTATAATTGTGGCGAATATTTTCTACTGCTTTTGGGCCCTTTCTATGTAGACTTGGCCTAACATTAGCACATAGTGCAGTGTGCAAACATCAGAACTGGGGAGACAAAGACGGACAGACGTGATGCTTGCCACCCACTCCCTTGTGCCGACCTCAATAGGTGCTAGTTAAACAACAACTACCCCAAAGGTCTGTTGGGGCAAGAGTGAGTCTGTGTGACGTGTGAGCGATGGCTAAGGCAGCAACACAAACTCGCTCAGCCTCAAACGAGTACCTGGTGCAAAGTGTAAACATCCGCTACTAGGGAGACAAAGGCGGCCGGGCGTGGTGCTGGCCACCCACCCCCCTTCGCTAACAGCACTTGCCCCAACAGTCTGTTAAGGCTATACGGGGTGGGGGATCTTTGTCTTTGTTTTGTCTGTGTGAAACAGTTCGCGTACGCGCACGCGTTTGCCGACGATGAGGCAAATGCAGTTCTTGTTCGCACTGACTTGCTGCTCATCAAGTTCAGGAATGGGCAAGCACGTTTTTTGCTGTTCGCACGTTTTGCTAGCACAGGACGAAAGTAAGTGCCTCGTTTTTGTTGTTGGTCACGTTAACATTCATCGTGTTAGCAGCTTGCTGATGAGCACTACAAAGCAACGCCGGTTGAGGTTGTTGGCTACGGTAAAAAAAACATTTGACTTTTAATGTTGGTTCCCCTTCCCCCCCTCTTCAACGAGTATATTTTCCCTCTGATTTTACTGCGTTAAAATGTGATAAGCCGAAATATAAGCCACCACATGACCTGCACATCATGGGCGACACTTTAAATCGGATGTGGGCCAGCCTTACAGACCCGCGACAACAAGAAGCCGAATCACTTCGAAAGAAGCCGCAAACAAAAATGTATCCGCCACTGGTTATCGTCTCGGCCGCACTAATCAGGTAACAAGAGAGTGAATTGTTTCCACCTGGCAACAACAACAACGACAAACACTGCGTTTTAACTCCAGCCCACCCAGTCACTCATGTCACTGCAAGGCCCTATTTGATACTCGGTCGACGTGCGCGTTAAAGCTGCATCGTTATCTCAGATTACCATTACATTCTGATGGCAATTCATTACGAACCACCAGAACAAAGATCCCCCCGTATAGCCTGAACCAAACTTGTGGGGCAAGTGCTGTTAGCGAGTGACATGTATGAAGGCCGGTACGGCTCACGAGAGGATGGCTGGGCAATACCACGCCTGGCACCCTTTGTATCCCCAGTGGTGATGTTTTACACACCGCACCAGGTACTTATTTGAGGCTGAGTCGACCTAGGGGAGGTCCAGGACCGATCTCAGATAATCGTCACTGGTGTTGGCCGTGAGCGGGAATCGAACTCGGGTGGCCGGGTTCGTGGTGCAGCAAACTAATCGCTACACCACCGCTCCCCGCATAACGAATCACACACATATTCTTGGTTCTTTCGGTAAAGTCACGTAGAAGGGAAACAATAAAATAATACAAATATAAACCAATACAAATTCTCACGACGTTTCGACTGCAACACAAGCAATCACATCAGGTGTGATGATGATTGCTTGTGTTGCAGTCGTGTTGCAGTCGAAACGTCGTGAGAATTTTTATTGTTTCATATTTGTATTATTTTATTGTTTCCCTTCTACGTGACTTTACAGAAAGAACCAAGAAAATGAATCCCTGCAGTCACGAAAGCTTTAAATCAGAATCACACACACAAGCACAATTGTAATGTATCTCAAGTTGGCGAGATAACGCTCGGGTGTTTGTTGACGCATGGTTCACCAAAGGCATTCGAAAGTTCTATTCGACCCTCGGTAGGGAAATGGTTCCCCATCACCCGTGTTTAGGTCTCGATCTACCAGGCTGACTTGTTTCGTCTCACTCGTGCTGTGTTCAACCACCACCGCTCGACTTTTGGAAATTCCCTCTCGTCGTCTATTCCCCCTCCCCCCCAAGTTCTAATGACGTTGCTCAACGCAATGAACAATTAACGCGTAATCTGTTACAATTTTAACATTTAACATTGCTGTTCGTCGTTAGCCGCGTGGCGTTTCATCTATTCGGGCGTGTGGTTCAGCAACCGTGATTTAACAAACAAAAAAACACACAATCTGGAGAGAAATATGCTGCCATGAAGCTCATCCTTGAGCTAACGTAGCAAAGCGGGCTTCTATTTAATTAATGATCATGCATTACAATTATTTCGCCGTGGGTACACACGCAGATATTCGCGTGTGTGTGTGTGTTTTTTTGTCGCGATCCGTATAACAGCACGGAAGAAAAAAACTTAACAAAAAATATTTTTTTCAAAATTATATTTCGCGGTGGCTAAATGCCCATTTCTTGCAAAGTAATACGATTCAAGCGCAGGAGAACGGCGTTGTTTCCCAGACAGAAGGCCCTCTTCAATTAAACATCTCGCAGACGTTCCGCGCTGAGCGTGCGCAGGGCGCACCCCGAGCATGCGCGGCAGATGGATACCGGGGGCAGACGCCTCCACGTGGCTCGCCATTGCACTTGCGCTGCCAGGGTGGATTCGTCGCTGCACTTCAATGAGATGGGGCTGGCAGAGAGTTGGGTAGGGGGGGGGGAAAGACAGCGAATTAAGCACACGCGGTTCCGGGCTCCATCAAAGGTCGTGCCAAATTCGTGCTCAAAGCGCCGCGTGCGAGGATAAGCTGGCTCGCGGTGAAGTGTTTAGCACGCTCGTCACACTGGGATGTAATATCCGGAGGTTCGCCGGTTTAAAAAAAAATTGTGCAATTTCGAGCACCAATTGGGTCGAGGCTCAAAAGAAAGCCGTCCCTTGGTGTGGACCAATCAGTTTCAAGGACAATGCATATATTATCATAGTGTGTTTTTTGTTTGCATTTTGACTGCAGGTATTGTGGTTAATGTAGACATGAATCCTTGTAAAAAGGTTTCAGTTTTGTTGCCAGAAAAAAGGGGAAAAACCCTATTATTACATTTTGGTACTGGCAAAGGAGGTAAAATGATGAGTGCAGACAATAGTTTCTGAATTTCACACTCCCCCCACCGCCCGCCCCACTTCTGTCCACACAGCAGTATACCACAGTCAGCTTATCTTCTTTGGTTATTTCGGTAAAGTCACGTAGAATGAGAATAAAATAATAAATTGATAAAATAAAATAACACAATAATATTCTCACGACGTTTCGGCCACAACACAAGCGGCCTTCATCAGGTGAAGGGACGAGACTGTCTGGTAGGACAGCGCTGGAGTTGATCGACAGATCGTCGCGTGAAGTTGGGTAAAAATTGTGGGCACTCCCACCAATTTCAAGACATCGAGCCAACTTGGAACTGTAGCCCAAATACCCTCAAGTGGGGCTCCCTCGCGTAGATGGCATTCAGCCAGCAGTAGCGTGAAAAATAAATTTCAGGCTGCACCTTAACCTTTATTATCGCATAGGCGCAGCGCCGCCTCCACCACGCATGTGCCACGTGTACGTAACGGGTCAGTATGTGCACGGGATGAATTGCACGTAAGATCGCGTATCTGGAATTGCGCACAGGCTATGTGAGATGGAGTCGGTGCGGATCAGTGGCGAGATGTTAAATACCTCGCCTGGCATGCAAGAGGTCGTGGGTTTAATCCCAACCCTGACGCCTGCTATATATTTCGAGTTTGCGTGTCTCTCTCCCCGTGTTCGTGTGGATTTTTCTCCGGGTCCTCCGGTTCCCCCCCCCCCCCTCCATATTTAGAAACATACATTTAAAGTATTTGGCTGCAATACATTTCCACATGATAAGCCACTTTGTTGAGCTGTCATTTGTGGCCATGTCGCTTCTGGAAAAAGAGCTGCTATGAAGCTCAGTGGTCCTTACCTGGTAAAATACAAAAAATAGTTTAGTTGAGTTCTATACCGCGAGTATAGGAGTAAGTGGGCGTGAGCTGCCAGCTCAGATTTGT